CGCCGGGTCTCCCGTGTCAGCCCACTGCCACTGCAAGGCGGGGCGTCTTCCCAGCGCAAGGATGGCTGCCCCCCATCCTCCATCTCTCAAGGTGCTGGAAAGAGGAGGTGGCCTCGCTGAAACGCCCTGCGCCATCGGAAGGTGGCAGAGCCGGTGGCTGGCGCCTCGTGCTTCATGGCCGGCTTCCGAGAGGCCGCGTGATCGGGGGCAGCGGCCGCCTCCAGGGGAGCAAGGCCTGCTGTCCAGTGTTGCACGGGCGCTCCAGAGGCCCTGACCTGGGCCGAGGGCGGCTGTCCAGCGAAGCTGGCCTGAGGTGCCTCCCGGCCGCGGTGCACACCCGCACCCTGCGGGCACTTTGCCTCCAGCCACTCAGGTCTGCTCCGGGCAGGGAGGGGCCAGCCCTCGGGACACTCAGAGTCGGTGGTTCTGCTGCAACTTGCTGACCTGCTGAGAGCAGGGCACCGCCCCCCCGCAGCTGCTTTGCAGGTGCGCGTCCCTGGAGACCTCGCTGAGGCCTCAGGGAGCTGACGGAGCAGGAGCCCACGTTCCCAGGGAGTTTGCCTGTGTCCCGGGGGTTGACGCTGTGGCAGGTTTCTGGTCATCCAGGCAGGCGAGGTGCTCTGCAGAGGGCACTGTGTCCCATGCTGGTCCCGAGACGTGGAGGGTACCCATGCGCCCACTTGGCAGTGTGGGGCCATGCACGGAACACGGCAGTCTTCAGTTCTGTCCGTGGTCTGCGGCCAGCGTGCGTGCACCGTGGGCAGGCACCCGGCCCGTCTCGTGGTGCGTGTCCCGGTCAGGACTCGCACTTCACGTTGGGAAGGTGCCGCGTGCCGCGCAGGCCCAGCTTGGAGCTGCTCGGCCCAGTCCTGGGCACCTCCCGAGGGGCTGGGAGGCCGCGCTGTTCTGCGTGCACTCGCCCTGGCCACGCCCCACACGGTCCCCGTCTGTCTCCTAGGATGTGGCTGCGGGCATGGGCACACTGGGCACTTAGCCCTCCAGGCCTGGCTCCGTGCCAGTCTGTGGCCCAGACAGGGTCCTGCCCTTTGGAAGTCACTGCCCCTGACCCCATGAGGACCTGGGTACTGGCCCCTTGTCAGTGCCCTGGGCCCTGCAGCTGCTCCGCCAGCACCTGCGGTGTTACTGCGAACGGGGGCCTGGGCGTCCTGGGACCTGTGAAAGGTCAATCACGTCGATAAGCTTGGAGTTGGCTCCTCCTTCCAATGATGGAACAGTGACGATCCCACTGCCGGCTGAGGGGCTGGGGCTCTGCTGTGCCAGCAGCGGACTGACAGGGACAGGTGGCCACTGACCCGCCGGCTTGTGTGCCCAGCACCAGTGAGGATGGGCACTGGCCGCAGCCACACGTCCTAGAGAGGACCAGGAAGGACCAGGGCCACCTGGCGGGGCCTGGCGCCCTGCGTTCGGGTGCGACTCTCGCCTGCCACCTGGGTGTTCATGGCATGCGCTGCTCTCTGTGCGAAAGCGCCTGGCTCAGCATTTTCCGTCCTGTTTGAATTTTGGGTCAGGTCAGGGCACAGCACAGGCTCCAGGCTCCAGGTGTGCGGTAGGGCTTCTGACCTTGGGGAAGGGCAGAGGTCAGGTCAGGGCCCGGGCACAGCACAGGCTCCAGGCTCTAGGCTCCAGGTGTGCGGTAGGGCTTCTGACCTTGGGGAAGGGCAGAGGTCAGGTCAGGGCCCGGGCACAGCACAGGCTCCAGGCTCTAGGCTCCAGGTGTGCGGTAGGGCTTCTGACCTTGGGGAAGGGCAGAGGTCAGGTCAGGGCACAGCACAGGCTCCAGGCTCTAGGCTCCAGGTGTGCGGTAGGGCTTCTGACCTTGGGGAAGGGCAGAGGTCAGGTCAGGGCACAGCACAGGCTCCAGGCTCTAGGCTCCAGGTGTGCGGTAGGGCTCCTGACCTTGGGGAAGGGCAGAGGTCAGGTCTGGATGTAAGGGTCATTCATGGCCCTGCCGAACTTTCTAGAGGTTTAGTTTTATAGCTGCTGGTAATTCCACATTAGAAATGAGTCCTGACTCATGGAGAACAACAGAATGGTCCCTGCACTGCTGAGAACCCTCGGGGTGGAGGAGGGACAGACAGGCAGGCCGGGTGTGTTCATGTTGCACGATTTCTTCCTCCCTCACTCAGCACCTGGTGTGTGCATGGGCTGGGGAACGGGCGACTCGGCCCCTACCTGCCCCTGAGCAGCTCACATCCCAGGTGGGCACGGACCCCGCAGCAGCGCTGCCCAGTGAGCTGTGGTGACCGCTGTCCTGGTGGGGTGTGGAACCACGCGGAGGGATTGCAGGTCTTGGGGGAAGCGGAGGTCTCGAGCCAGGGCAGGTGGGCTGGGCGGGAGGCGCAGGTGGAAAGCCGTCTCGGGAGGCAGAGCCCGAAGGCCTGGCAGAGCAGGTCCATTCCATGGGCAGGTACCGCCAGGCACCCAGTGCCACCTGAGGGCACACGGTGGGGCGGGAGTGCGGGGGAGGGGAGGGCCATTATGAGACATCCCAGCTGTCTTCTGTGGATCAGTCTTTCCCAAACTGGGGCCCTTTCTGGAACCTCAAGATGTCTTGAGATGAAACCCCCTTGTGGCAGTAAGTGCCCCCGGGAGACGGGCCAGGGACACAGCGAGGGGGGCCTTTCCTGTCCCTGGCCTCTTAGCGGTGGAGAGCCGTGGGCTCAGGCCCCGCCCAGGGCACGCGGGTGACTGCGGCTGGCACTTCCCCTCCGCAGGAGGGGGCGAGGCTTCTTTCTGCATCTTGGGATTGAGTTTGTTTGGAAATAAACGAGGAAGGAACGTGTTCCAGAGGCCACAGTGCCGCCCCTCTGCGCTACAGCGGCTCTTCCCTCCCGGGGACCTCCACCTGCAGGGCCTGTGAGGGGCCAGGGTCCCGCCTCCCGCCGTCTCGGGGCTGCTGGGCGCCGGCTGCCGTGTAAGTTCCCCGTAGGCCCGGCACGGGTGTGGCTGCACATGGGCATCGCAGAGCTGATTAAACAGTCTCAGGTCTCACCTGATTCTGATCGAGGACGTTGAGGTGAGCCTGGGATGAGGAGGTGTGCGGCTCTGTCTGGGACCCTCGACTGCACCCCTGAGGTGCCCTGCTGCCCCTGAGGCCTGGGCGCTGCCCTCTCCCTCCCCTTACCATGCACTCCAAGGCAGGAGGCCCAGAAGGAAGAGCTGGAAGGGCCCGGTGCAAAGAGACTGTTTGTTCACTGAAATCTTGGGCTTGTCCTAGAAATGCATGGTCTTTCTGCACATGCCTGTTTGCTGTGGTTGGTGTGAGGAGGGTGTCAGACCTCTCAGGGCGACCTGTTCCACCGCCCTTGTGTGCTGCTTGCTTCCAGATGCCTCTGTCCCGACCCCCTGGGGCTCCTGCCCACACCCTCCCAGCCCCCGGTGCCCAGACGGGGCTGTTCCCTACGCTTTCACGGGGAGGACGCTGCAGCCTGGCCCATTGGGATGCCGGGCCTTCCGTCCTGTCTGCGTGGCTGGTGGAGCAAAACGTCCCTCTGGCGTGGGTCTGTCCCTTCAGGGAGGGGTGCCTGGTGCCATGGGAGCCGAATAGTGGGGTGAGCCGACGCCAGCCAGAGGAGCCCTGCTGCCTGGGCCTCCGTCCCTGCTTCTGGGGCCTGGCCCCGCACCCTCCGTCCCTTTGTCCCTGCAGAGGCGGGTGTGGGGCCTCTGGTGTCCCCCGCGGGTCCCGTCTTCTTCCTGCAACGTGTCACCTCGCTCCTCCCGGGACCTGCCTCCCTGCTGGCAGCCTGGGCTCAGAGGTGCGCCTTGTGCTTCCTGTGGCCCTGTCCTGCGGCCGGCCACTGTCTGGTGGACTTGGTCTCGAGTTGCCATCTCTGTTCCCCAGCATCAACGGGGCCTCATCGCCTGGCAGTGCCCTGCCCACCTCCTGGGTTGAAGGCAGCAGTGTTTTGGGGGTGGGGTGACATCTGGGGTGGGAGAGACAGGAGCAGAAGCAGTGAGCACGGCTGCAGTCGGGGAACAGCCCTGCCCGGCCAGCTGCCCCCGCTTCTGCCGAGTGCTCGTGTAGGCGCACAGGGCGTCCGGAGGGTCCTCTACCTCTAGGGAAGGCTGGTTTCTGCAACTTTGCAGTTATCCAGACCCTGTATCAAACCAGGCCAGAGCTAACTTCTCTCGTACACTTGTTTACGTGCCGTTTCTGGAACTTTCTTTGGGAGAACACCTGTGAGCTTTTCTCAGGATTGCCTCTCAGGGCAGGCCCCCGGGGAAGATGAGCCCCGAGAGAAGGACATGTTGGTGACTCGGGGCGTTAAGGAAAAGATGGGTGCAGGGGGACTTAGCAACACTCGGGTGGGCGCCGATGACGCAGTCGGCACCGCAAGTCCTGGGTCCCGTCGTGGCCACCCGGGCACCACGCACCTGCTCTGAGACGGCACGGCGCCTCTCGGGCCCTCAGGTGGGACGTCGTGTCGCTGTGAGCACTGGGCCTTGGCCTCCTGCAGTGGCTCCTCCAGGCTTCCATAGGCGCGAGCTTCGTGGAGCCCTGCGGCCTTTGGGCTGGCTGCCGACGCTCACTGGGCAGAGACCTGGGCAGGGCCGCAGGGACCCAGGCTGGGAGTTGCCGCTGTGGCGAGCGACTTTGGCCCCTCAGGAGGCTGTGCGCCAGGGAAGGGCGGGCGGTGAAGCCTGGCTCCTCTCAGAGGCCCAGCCGTCCTCACCGTGCCCAGCCTGGACCCAGAGGCACCGGCCCAGGGCTGTGCCCGCTTGCGCAGTGGCTGGAGGGGGGGGGGGTCCTCCTTTCCAGCTGGCGAGCTCATCTGCCCCCTGCAAACCCCACTCGCGCCTGAGCCTGGGGGCCTGCCCTGGGCAGGAGGAGGGCCTGTCTGTGGGGCTAGGCCGCCGGCCGAGCTCAGCTCTGCCCGCACCTCTCAGACCCCTGCTCACGCCGTCAGGCGGGCGTCGGCTGGGGGCGGGCTTCCCGTGGTCCCTGGGCGTGGTCGGAGCTGGCCTGTGTGTCCTGACAGCGGCCTTGTCTGTCCTAGAGCAAGTCCACCGGCACCTGGAGCGGCACGAGGTGCGCTACCTGCAGTTCGCCTTCCGCTGGATGAACAACCTGCTGACCCGGGAGGTGCCCCTGCGCTGCACCGTCCGCCTGTGGGACACCTACCAGGTGAGCTGTGCCCGCGGCCTGGGGACATGCCCTAGTCACCGCCGGCCTTCAGGCCGTTCCCGTGTGCTTGTCGCCCGGCCGGACGTGGGATGGAGAGGACTCTGTCGTGGCTGGTGAGCTTCACGCCCGCCGTGCGGCAGGGGCCTGGGCGGGGCGCACACTCGGGACTCTGGCGTGGTCTGAGCCACGCCTGCCACAGCAGTCAGGCCTGTGTGTCTGAGTGACAGGTCAGTGCAGGTTGACGTTTCCTCCTCTTCACCGAGGCTGCTGAAGTTCACTCTTCAGGAGACTGAGCAACAGACCACCTCTGCCCCCAGTGTCCCGCTGCCCGCTTGAGCCCCCTGCCCGCTCGAGCCCCCTGCTGCCTCGGGTCCCGCTGCCCACTCAAGCCCCCTGCTGTCTCGGGTCCCCTGCCCGCTCGAGCCCCCTGGCGTCTCGGTGAGGCCTGGAATCCAGGCCAGGATGCCAGTGTCCCTTGGACAGCAGGCCCTCATCTGGACTGGGGTCACCTCCCGTGGGGGCCGGTGCTCACGCCTCACGTGAGAGCAGGCTTCCTGCCTGGGGCGCAGACAGACGGACGGGAGCTGCTCTTTGCGGTAGCCTGAGTTGCAGGCCCTGGTTAGGCGGTGGCGCGGGGCCTTGTGTGGGACAGCCACAGAGAGGGTCGTGGGCGGCCAGGGCCTCAGGCAGGCCGGAAGGGTCTCAGCCACCCCATCCCTGCACGGAGGCGGCCTGGTCTGGAAGATGCACCCGTGGGAGAGGTGGTTTTCTTGGTCACCTGGACGAACCCAGAGCCCTGTTCCTGAGCCGCCTTGTGCCCCGCGCGGCCCGTTTCCGCTTGGCGTTTCCTTCCACACAATCCTGACGACGTTCCCTGCAGACACTGTGAGGCGTGGGGCGGCATCCGCACCCCCACCGCGGTTCTGGTTTTCCAGGTTCTTGGCAGCCACAGAGTTTCTGGACACTCGCCTTTGTGGGGACATAAAGCCTTTTCTCGGGTCGTTCGGCTGAAGTGGCTGACAGCCTGGTGCTGTGGCTGGGTCTCGGGGCATCTCGGGAACAACTGCATCTCCCGTAAATTTCGAGTGCTGCTTGCGACGGGCCGGCTGCTCCCCACCCCGCCCCCGCCGTGCGCAGAGCCCCTGTGGCACTGTCGTCATCGTGGGCGGATCGTGCGTGAAGTCTTCCTCGTTTTGAGGAGCCAGAAGTGGACCGTGCGTCCAGGGTCCTTCCCACACGCTGGAACGCCTAGTGGGGTTCACGTTCAGTGCAGCCGTGGCGTCTTCAAGGGGGTTTCCCTGGAGTTGGGTTTTGTCTCGTTTGTGCCTGGGCTTGTTCGTGCACTGAGGTCCCCTGGCCGTAAGCACTCCTGTCTTAAAGTTTGGGGGTGTTTTATACTGCAGGCTCAGGTACCCACTGCATTGCATCCTTTGGCAGTGAGCATACGTGGTAGTCATAGGGTGGCACTGGGTGGGCACTCTCCGGGTGTTTGTTGGCTGGGCTGTGACAGGTTTCAGGAGCCCTGGCCCCTGCAGGCACCTCGTGGGGTGTGTGGCCTCAGAAGGTATTGATAAGCACCTGCTCTGTCCCAGCCCCACCCGAGAGGGGGCACAAAGGTGAATGAGGGGCGTTCTCTCCAGCGTGAGAAGGCATGGAAACGCGCCAGCAGCCGGAGGTCGCCCGCCCTCGGGAGATGCCCACAGCGCAGGTGGTCCTGGCGTGGCTGCCGGGGCGGAGGGAGCTCCAGCTCCAGGGCCTTGGCCGAGGGAGGGGTTTCGAGGCCTCTGCTCCCCCGCTCTGGACCGTGGAAGGACACATCTGGCCTCTGCCGCCGCCCTGCCTGTGGGTGTTGATGACTTGGAGTGAGAGGGACCTCTGGGCTTGTCTCTTGTTGAGCTGCTCCTTCCGAGTCTCTTTGGCGTCCTGGCTGGCCAGGGTGTGCCCTGGTGCCCGCGTTTTCTCCTGACTTTGCTTCTCCTCCCCAGCCCACTCCCTGCCATGCTTGGTCTGTGTCGTGAGGAGGCCAGCGACTTAGCTGTCCAGTGCCTGAGAGCAGGCACAGAGGTGATCGGGAGGCGGTGGCATTTTCTCCTGACGCTGGAATTCCCCCATTCTCGTTTCATCACAGTAAAGACAATTCTCTCCTTAAGTGCCAGCCGCATGGCAAACAGAACGTGAGCAGAGACTGGGGTTTAGGCAAGTTCTAACCCAGGGTCCATCTCTAAACCCGGCTGCACACAGGACCGCCGGGTGCGGAAGGCAGAGCCAGGGGCGGGGAGCCCGTGTCGCAGGCGGGCACAGCAGCCCTCAGAAGCCAGTCCCGCCAGCTGAGGGGGGTGCAGAGCAGCTGGGGCCGGGCCTGGCCCAGAGGTGGACCTGCGGGCAGGCGGGGCAGTCCCGCCGGGGCCGCCCCTTGTCTGGGTGCTGATGCCTCCCTTCCCTGTGAGTGGCCGTCCGCCGTGGGACCCGCTGGGGAGGAGCAGGCTCAGAGGTGTCGACAGAGGCGGATTTCCTGAAAGGCAGGCGGCCCAAGTGCTCATTGTTACCGGAGGGCATTGGGAGGTCAGCGGGCTCAGGGTTGCTCGGCTCTCCTGGGGTGTGCTGTGGCCCCAGAGTGTGGCCTGCTCCCGGCACCGTGGGAGTGACTGGGGCTTTGGGAGGCTGCATGAACCTGTGGCGGCTTTGGTGGTGTGGACGCGTCACGGCATGAGTTCTCCGGGTCCGCGAACGCCCCGTGTGTGTGTTCCTGTGTCCGTGCCTTTCGTCGGTGTGTTACAGTAGCCCCTGTGCAGGCCCCTCCTCGGGTGGGTGCCGTCCTGAGGTTGTATTGTTCTGATGCGTTTGTAAGTGGCCTTCATTTCCCTCTCCCGCAGTTCATTGTTAGTGTATAGAAATGCATTGCCGAACAGGACTGTTCCATCCTCAACTTGGCTGAATTTGTGTGTCCAAAGGAAATGAAATGATCTCAGAGATACCGGCACCCCAGGTCACAGCAGCGTTATTCACGGTAGCCAAGGTGTGGAAACAGCCTGGGTGTCCATCAGTGATGGACACACTCACACATGCACACACACTCTCATACACACACACACACACACACACACACGCACGACTCACTCACACACATATGCACACACATGCACGACTCACACATATGCACACACTCATACACGCACGACACACACACTGTGTACACACACACACACGACTCACTCTCATAGACACACACATGCACACACACACGCACGACTCACTCATGCACACACACGACACACACTATGCACACACTCATACTCACACGCACGACTCACACTGCACACACACGACTCACTCTCTACACACACGCACGATTCACACACATGCACACACGCACACGACTCACATATGCACACACGCACGACTCACAATATGCACACACATACTCACACACATGACTCACTGTGCACGCACACACGACTCACACTCTCATAGACACACATGCACACACTTGCGCACACACTCACACACATGCACACATACTCTCACACTCACACACATGCAGAAATGTACTCAGATAAAAGGAAGGAAATCATGAATGTGGCCCGGGGCATTAGGGGAGGTAGAGGGAGGAGGGGGAGGTGGTCTGGTCTACGTGCAGAGGGAGGAGGGGAAACCTGTGTGAGGTCATGGCAGGCAGAGGCTCTAGGACAGCTGCCCAGTAGAAGGCTCTAGAAGGTGGAATGCCCCGTAGGGTAGTCTCTGGGCACCCTGGTGCTATTCAACACTTGAAAAATGTGACCGAGGACGTGGTTTTTAAATTGACTTAATTTTAACTCATTGAAACTTAAATTGAACAGGCACAGGTGGCCAGTGGTGGGGGTGGGGGAGCCCTTCTGGGAGGGCGTGGGCCGTCTCTGTCAGTGAGGGGTGCGGAGGGGCCGCAGCCTAGTGGTTCCGGTCCAGGGAGGGAGACACCCCTCTTGCCAGGTGAGTGTTGCAGGCTGGCTTCGTGCGGCTCCAGGCTTCCACTGCATTCCTTCCCAGCGGGACCCAGAGGCTGCGGGCTCTGCTGCAGGCCCTCCGCGCCGTCCTGGAGGGCGTCTGCCGTCACTGCTCCCGTGGTGGCTCTAGTCACAGGACAGGAAGCAGAGGCTCTGTCCCTTGGCTTCTGATCCGGTCACCCACGCACCCTCCGTCTGGGGCGCCGCCTCCGAGGCTGCGAGCAGACCCCAGGCCTGGCACGCGCCACGTGAGGGAAGGGGCACGGGGCTGCCAGTCTGTGGGGTGTCTTCCTCCCGATACAGCTCCGGCTCCCCTCGTCCTGCCATCCGGTGTACCTGGGCCATGTCTGTAAGGAAGGGGGTGTGTTTGGACAGTTCCCAGAAGCCCATGGACGCAACGCTTGTCTGCGACCCCGAGGACAGGCAGAGCTGAACGCCCTGGCTCAGCACTATCCGCACACGTGGGCAAGTCTGTCTCCAGAGCTCACACGTGGCCGTGGGGAGTCGGCTGGGTCCTCGTGCGGGCTCTGCAGGTGGCTGCTGGGGGCGGGCAGTCAGCTTTAGCCCACATCCCGCTGAGAGGGCCGCCGCCAGCCGGGCCTTCCCTCGCTCAGGCTCAGATGTGCCAGCACACAGCGCACCGGGGGTCGCTGTTCTTCCTCACCCTGTCCGCCGACCGCGGAGCCGTCCACATCCGGGGTGTCCGCGGACTGCGGAGCCGTCCGCACTCGGGGTGTCCGCTGACTGCAGAGCCGTCCGCACTGGGAGCGTTACGCCAGGCTGTGCCGTCCACACCCGGGGTGTCCGCTGACTGTAGAGCCGTCCACACCCGGGGTGTCCGCTGACTGCAGAGCCGTCCGCACCCGGGGTGTCCGCTGACTGCAGAGCCGTCCACACCCGGGTGTCTGCTGACTGCAGAGCCGTCCGCACTGGGAGCGTTACGCCAGGCTGTGCCGTCCGCACCCGGGATGTCCGCCGACCGCGGAGCCGTCCGCACTGGAGGCGTTACGCCAGGCTGTG